GGGGGTGATGCCACCTCCCCGGGAGCAGCCGGCCCCGCTGCCTCTGCCGGCCTGTTAAGTTGCAACTGAAGAAGGCTCAACCAAAACACTGAGTGATATTTAAAAAAAAAAACAACAACCAAAACCCAGAAAAGTCCTTTAAATACAGGCACCTCTGCTGCAAAACCAGCTGCCAGGCTGCTGGCCCTGCGGAAAGCCGCCTGCCACAGCAGAGCCTGTCAGGAGACGTCTGTTCCTCGGTCTTTGCAAGAAAAAAAAGACGTCTACCGGGCATTTTTGCTCACTTTTTATTCACAGCAGAAGTTATGAGGAAGCGGGAGGAAAAAAAAAGCAATGTCCCAGCTGAGCCTGCACTAAGAAGCAAGCTGAGGGCTGTAATCCCCAAATCGTATTAGCCAAACGCAGAAAGCCAAGAGACCATAAACCAAGAATAACCTCTTAAACTTGCTGCAGCTGGCTTTGTGGGCAGCAAAGAAACAACTAAATAGCCAAGGCATATTGAAGGTGCATCGTGAAGGCAGGGTCTCGTCAGGGGGAGTGCAGGGGGCTTCCCCTGCATCCCCTGTGCGTTGGAAGCCGGCTGTCCCGCTGCGGAGGGTGAAGCTGCTGCATTTCTAGGTGTGTGACAAGGAAAGGCAGACGCCCACTGGCAGCGCAGGCAGGTGAAAATCAGAGGACTATTTGGCAATTGCCCACCAGCTTCTCTTCCCAAGAGCTTGGGAAGGCATTTTTTTTGTTAGTTTTTGTGTAAGTTTCTGGGTGAACCATTGGGGTACCCCCCCCCCCCTTTTTTTTTTTTTTTTTTTTTGCACTTGGCTCTTTCCAACATGGAGATTAAACATTTAGATTCCAACTCAGGCGTTTGCTCAAAAGCTCATGGAAGACAACTGAAAGATTTAATTCCCTCCATCCCCCATCTGGGTTACATTAAGTTAAAGTCTTTTTCACATCTGAATTAAAATATTTTCAGTCAAGTTTGATTTTTGAGCTTTTATGAGGTCTGCTCACCTCCCTCCTAGAGCAGAGGGTAGATGCCCTTTGTCTAATGCGTTCCTGACAGATGTTTGCAAACGGGTGTTACTCCAGTAAATGGTGCTGAACTGAGTTTGTAAATGCTGCAAATATTTTAAATGTCATTCTTATTTTTCCAGTCAGAGAGAAGACTGGTGGGAGCATTAGCACAGGGTTTTTCATTAATAAAAACTTGTTTCCCTAAAACCTAAATCTGAAGTCAGATTTATCTGAAAATATTTGTTTAGAGTTTAATACAAGGTAACAAATACTTTACATAAAGCATTTCTGTTATTGTAACTGAGAAAGAGCTGACTATTAGAGCCAGTCTTGTGTATTCCTTAGACTAAGGTATTTCCCCTCCTTCCTCCAGGTGGTCTACGTAACAGCCTCTTTGCCATACTGTGTTCTCATCATATACCTCATCAGAGGATTAACACTTCATGGAGCTGTGAACGGGCTCGTCTACATGTTCACACCAAAGGTACAGAAAAATTGTACTGAACTTTTCACAAAATGTTATTAGTTACTAAACGTGTAGGTTTTTAAAAGGTGGTGACACTCCTTTTCCTTATACTGAATTTTGTGCAGCAGTAGGTCAGGTCAGGCAGCTGGAAAACTTGGCTGGGAGCAGCTGGAGACTGTTTTGCCATGGTGTCTGCCCATAAGCTGCTTGCTTTCTCCTGTAGAAAAAGACCTGCCCATTAACATCACCCATAGTGTATTGCTTCCAGACTGAGCAGTAACCCTGCCTAAAACCCACCCCTGAGCTAAAACAGCTGTGCAAAGGGGCCCATCCCCATCCCCGCAGGCTGGAAGGGGCAGTGCTGGCGATCCATGCGCAGCTTCACGCTCCTGCTCTCCCCGTCCGGTTTTGCAGCTGGAGCAGCTGTCGAACCCCAAGACATGGATCAGCGCTGCCACGCAGATCTTCTTCTCCCTGGGCCTGGGCTTTGGCAGCCTCATTGCATTCGCCAGCTACAACGAGCCCAGCAACAACTGCGAGAGGCACGCCATCATCGTCTCGCTGATCAACAGCACCACGTCCATATTTGCCAGCATCGTGACTTTCTCCATCTACGGCTTCAAGGCGACGTTTAACTACGAAAGCTGTGTAAACAAGTAAGAGGCTGGTATTTCACGTGTTTGCCACTGCAAGCCATTCTGGGGAAGATAAGGGGGGGAGGTAAATATATAACAGCACACGGTGCTGCCAGCGCTGCCCCGAGCCCAGCCCCGATACTGCTCTACTGAAGCTAATGGCACGACTTAAAGCGATGAAGGCTGAGATGAAAGGTCAGAGCTGGCGTGCCTTTTGACACCTGGGTGCCGCTTCCAGGCACGGGCTGGGTCAAGTGGATGAGTTTGCCTGGGCGAGTCATAGCAGCACTTTCCCCTGCACCCCAGTCCCAGCACATGCTTTGCAGGGAGAGGGGGGCTGGTTAATAAAATGCAATGATGCTCAGATCCCCCCCTGCTTGAGGCTAAGCCCTGTGCCAGGAGCTCGGCCTCCTCGGTGGTGATGCTCTGGAGGTGCCCCGCAGCCTGCAGGATCATGCCGCGAGGCAGCAAGCTCGCATGCGGTCCCTGGCGCAGGGCCCGCAGCAGTTACACTTTTACTCGTATTTTTACAGCTTTCAGTCTAGCTGCTGATCAGAGAGGAAACCAAGCTGCTAGCCCCTGCTCCTTGCCAAACGGCTTGTTAAATTGGTGGGGTGTGGGTGTGGGACTGGAGGGCAAAGGGGAAGAGGCGCCAGCTGGCGCTGGCCGGCATCCAAAATACCTGCTGGCTCCCTCCCAGGTGCCCGAGAGTGGCAGCCCAGGCGCAGGAGCTGCTCCCTCCGAAGCAGAGACGAGCATGAGGCTGCCAGCATCCCAACACGGTGCTGGAAGTGCCGCGGCTGCAGCTCCCACTTGGGGAGACCGGAGCCCTGGGGCTGGCAGAACAGCCCTGCGTGGGGGCCGATGGAGAAGGGGATGGGGTATAAAACCGGCATTGGTTTTACACCTTGGCCTGAAAGACATTCAGTTCCAGTAATCTTTCCCAGGGTGATCCTGCTGCTGCTGAACGCTTTTGACCTGGAGGAAGGCTCTTTAACAGCAGACAACCTGAACGAGATGAAAGACTACCTCATGGCCACCCACCCGCAGGAATATGCGCGATTATTGCCACAGCTTAAAAACTGCAGCTTGGAAGCTGAACTAGATACGGTGAGTTGCCGCTTTGCGCTGGTGCCTGGGCTTCACTTGTGCCTTTCCTCCCAGCGAGCCCCGGGCAGCCCCCCCAGCCCCACACGGGCACATCCGCACCCCCAGGAGCCGCCTGGCCGGGGGCTGCAGTGGGGCTCATTTCTGCACCTCGGGATGGGGCAGGGGGCTCTGGCTCAGCCTGGCAAGGGGCTCGCTTGGCTCGTTAGCAAATG